CCTGTAGCTCAGGAGGTACCTAAGCTACCTCAGCCTCAGGAGGTAGCACGGGATCTACCAATCAGAAGGTCAGTTGTGAGTTCCTTGCCCACTCCAACCTCCATCTTGAAGTATTTGTGGTCAAGATACTGAACCCCAAGTTACCTCTGATAGAGACAAAGGGCTTAGATACAGAAAAAGTCAACCAGTGGACAAGGCTTGACCTTCTGTGTAGAAACAGAATAGAAAGTGCAATTACTGTAAGCCAAACCAAAAACAAATCCTTTAAAATACACAGCAAACGTCAAGTACAACACATCAGTACATAAATGAAAAGGTCATCAGTTCACTGCCACCATCTCATGACCTTCTGCACAGTTTAGGCGCCAACATTTGTCTCAATAAGCAAAAAAAGGGGGTTATTTTTCTTTCTGTATACAGAACGTAAATGCATGAAAGAGCCGTGAGAGTCAAAGATATCAGTGTTATTGCTGACATTCTCCAGCCCTACTGACCCCTCGCTGTCCTTCCAGTTCCTGGCCTGACACCATTACAGTGTTTGCCTAACCTGCGTGATAGATAATTGCTGTGATGATAACCTAACTATTAATAGTGTGTGTGCGCGCTGGTGCATGCATGCCGATGTGATACCAGGCACAGTGCTATTGGTCGCACCCTGTGAAGGACACTCCTCTCTCCTTGGTTCGTACCCCCTTTGAAGTCTGAGCAGCTGTTGACTGGGGCTGAGGTCAAACAGTTGCTGCTAATAAAAACGACAGGTTGTTTCTTCATTTAGTTGCAAGCTGAACAAACTTTATTTTAATCATTCTATATCGTCCAAGGCAATGTTCCCTGCGCGCGTGCGCAATTGCGCACTGCTGGCACGGTCTCTGCGCACAGAAAATCTGCGTTGCGCACAGAAACGCAGAAATAAAATGAATACTTTAACAATTCTGTTTTGCAGTGTTAGCCAGTGAGTGACTGGCTGCTCCCGTACGGGATTAGAACGATGCCACCATCCCATATTTCAGCCAATAATGCGATTCACATTCGTATATACGCAGCTAATCAACATCGTTGACAGGCTACGACAGCGTCTTTATGTGCACCGGTGTTTTAGCAAGCAAAGCGGCGTGGCTGATGTGGAGTGAAGCCACCTTAATGACAACGTGGACAAGCATCGGAGATGTGAGCAGGACAGACGGAACAATTGAAGGAAAAAGTGTGGACTTTTTTTTAAATGGTAAATGGCCTGTATTTATATAGCGCTTTACTAGTCCCTAAGGACCCCAAAGCGCTTTACATATCCAGTCATCCACCCATTCACACACACATTCACACACTGGTGATGGCAAGCTACTTGTAGCCACAGCCACCCTGGGGCGCACTGACAGAGGCGAGGCTGCCGGACACTGGCGCCACCGGGCCCTCTGACCACCACCAGTAGGCAACGGGTGAAGTGTCTTGCCCAAGGACACAACGACCGAGACTGTCCAAGCCGGGGCTCGAACCGGCAACCTTCCGATTACAAGGCGAACTCCAACTCTTGAGCCACGATCGCCCCTAAATTTTGCTGATAGGTCACTAAAACCAGAGTTATGATAAAAATATATAAATGTTGGGTTTCTTCCTGAATACTGTGTTGTTTATATTTACTCGGAGAAACGGTAAAAAAAACCGGCGTTTTATAAGGAAAAGCTCGAAAGCACTCTCCACCTGTGAGAAAACCAAACCAAAAAAACCCACTCTTTCCTATTGGTGGAAAAATGTAACATGTCGACCAATCAAAAAAACGATATGGCAACATGGCATTTAGTTGTTTAGGAAGGGAGAGGGAGGGGGGATTAGGAGTGAATCTTGTGTAGTTAGTGTGTAGTCAATCAGTTTTGTTGTGTGTGTCAGAACAATGAGGTGACTGCTGAATGTTACAGGTGTTACAGGAGTGATACATCTCCTGTTGTCAGGCCTGCAGGTATCAGGCTGTTGTTCTCCTTTATCTCATAGTGGACAGAAATTATTTTTTGGAGTGGCACAAATAATTTGTGTGGCATCAAATTTGATGCAGAACAGCTGATTGTTCTGTAAATAGTTTGAAATGTTTATTTAAAAAAACGCCTTGGCTGCATTTTTAGGTAAACAGCTGCAAAAAACTTTGTTTGCATAACTCAGTTACTTTTTTGAAGAAGTAACTATATAATTAATTGCCCAGCATTGGTCATTATATACTGTATTTTGCAGACAGAGAGTTACAGGACTCTCTCCCAGACCACAGACTCATAATACAAGTCAGAGCTTTATAAAAAAAAAAAAAAGGAAAAAAAGAAAGTTGTGTTTTCAAAATTGGAGTTTAAGTTATTTTTTACTTCCAATAGTGTTAACATGCTACACAGGTCATGAACAAGATTTTTTTTTTTTTAAATTCATTGTAAGTGGGATAAAGCAGTTAATTAAAAGTAGTCTAACATAAATGTAAACGCTGTAATTTGATTATTTTAATAAACCATGTAACTTGGATGGATTCGATGGTGGCGTGACCAGGAAGTCTTTTATTTCCAAAATAGAGACCCCTCGTTTTTTCTTGCATGGAGTCAGACTTTCTAGTATTTTTTACTTCGATAATTGGCATCTTACACCCGTTTTAAGTCTATTATCAATTAGAAAGTCCTACATTGCTTCATTCTTGAGTTATCACATTCACAATCTTGGGTGTCCATGTTGCCTGCCCGCCCAGCAGCATGCTGACAATATCTCATCAGCACTTTATAGCTGACGGGTAAAAACATTTGAGGAAACTAAAATCGGCAACAACAGGTCTTTAGGAGTGACAATCCAGTTGTGATATTTTTGGTAGAAATCATTGTGAGCGTGTGGAGTAGGTATGGAGGCTCTGACATGGTTTAGAGCTGCCGTTCAGCCAGTGGTGCTGGGGTCTTGGGAATTATGAACACATGATAGTAAAGCAGAAAAGTATCATCAGGTTTTGATCCACCATACAAAACCATCTGGAAACTGTCTTATTGGCAAAACAATACAATACAACACCATCAGTCATGGATTGGCCTCCCCAGAGCATCTGAAGCAGTGTGGGATTCTCCTGATAGAGGCCAGAACAAAAGGCAGCCAACATCTAAAGAAGAGCTTTGATCATCCCTCAAGAAACATAGAAAAATTATCCTGAATGAAGACATGTCTTGATGCATGCTCAACCAACCAGGTAAGAAATCTAAACAACGTCGACTCTGTTCATGGACGTAGCGTGCAGAAGTCACTTGGATGAGTGATGAAATGTTTCTCCTGCTGAAAATGCTATATCCAGATGAACACAATCAACTTTTTGTTAATTCAAGAAATTACAAGAAAGCTTGCCTAAGAGAGTTCAGGCTGTCTTGGAGAATAAAGATGGTCATACCAAATACTGACTTTAAAACCAGTTAGAATGATTTAAACTCTGTTTGATTTTTTTTCTGTATTTACACCTATTTGCCATATTTGTAGCAAAATATGAAGAAACGATTTTACTTGATTTAAATCTGTTGGACTATTTTATTCATTATTTATTTTTAGTTTGATTTATTTGTGCACTGGAAAGATTCAAATTTTGCCTCCAGTTCACAACTTTTTTTGAGAACCTAAATAAAAACATGGTATTAATGTAATGAAACTCCAAACAATTATATAAAGCCCACTGAAGTGTATTTACATGAAATTTTTTTTAATTATGTTCAACCCTTTAACACTTACTGCTTCATATATGGTCATGAACCAGAAAAAGTTTTCCCAGGATCTTGTACTCTGTGAAAAACTAAGTAGAACTGTGCTGAATCATGGGGAATTTGCAGCCAAACGAGTGCACTTGATTAATAATCATAAACAAGTGTGACTACCACTATAAAAGCAGATTTGGAGTAATCAGCTGTTTGTTAAATGGCCTGTATTTATATAGCGCTTTACTAGTCCCTAAGGACCCCAAAGCGCTTTACATATCCAGTCATCCACCCATTCACGCACACATTCACACACTGGTGATGGCAAGCTACATTGTAGCCACAGCCACCCTGGGGCGCACTGACAGAGGCGAGGCTGCCGGACACTGGCGCCACCGGGCCCTCTGACCACCACCAGTAGGCAACGGGTGAAGTGTCTTGCCCAAGGACACAACGACCAAGACTGTCCAAGCCGGGGCTCGAACCGGCAACCTTCCGATTACAAGGCGAACTCCCAACTCTTGAGCCACGATCGCCCCTCGTTTGTTAACAACAATCTTCCCAGGATTGGACAACCCAGCAAATTCAACCCAAGGTCAGAAAAAAATTAACAAAAACTCATCTACATCTCAGACTCTACAGACCTCAGTTAGCATGTTAAATGTTAAGGTACAATTAGAAATAGGGTGAATAAGCATAGTTTGCTGCACAGTTTAGGTTTGCAAAGTTCCATCTGAACAAACCACAAGCAACGTTCTTTGGACAGATGACACCAAAGTACAGATGTTAGGCAATAATGCACAGCACCAGCACCATGGAGGGAGAAATCCAAACGCAGCAAATCAGCACTGTGGAGGAGGGGCGATGATTTGGAACCTGGAATCTTGCAGTCGTTGAGTTGACCATGAACTTCCTTGAACATCAAGTCGAGTCAAATGTGATGCCATCTGTTTGACAACTAAAGCTTGGCTGGAAGTGGGTCGTGGACAGTAGCAAATTTACAACAGAATGTCTGGAAAAGAATCAAGCTGTTGCAATGGTCCAGTCAAAGTCCAGATCTCAACCCGAAATGACATGCTGTGGCGGGACTTTAAGAGAGCTGCTGTAAACAAATGCCGCAAACTTCAGTGAACTGTCACAACGTTGTAAAGACGAGTGGGCTGAAAGTCGTCCACAACGATGTGACACGTTGATAAAGTCATATCAAAAGCAATTAGTTCCTACTGCCAAGGTGGTTCTACGATATTGAATTGTAGGGTGTACTTGGAGTGTTTTTCACAGTACTGTTCATGTAAAACATAATGTAATGGATCAGAATTAAATACACCTGGTAACATTTATTTGAAAAAGAAGACGTGTAATTGTCGACATTAACAACTTCTACAAATAAATATAAACACGATAAAGTAGAGGAAGTTATCACTTTAAAGGAATCAATCAGAGGACCTAATCAAAGCTTGGCTGATCGATGTCCAGGGGAAGCGTGCACCGAGTCAGGTTAGACATGTAGAGAGCAGTGGCAATGGGAACGAGGCCGGCGGCCACCTTGAGAATAGTCAGCAGCCTCTCTGTAGCACTGGCCACTCCATCTGGAGTCTGTAGGGAAGGAAAGATTACACAGGATGGCTTTTTAGGAAACGCAAAAAGACACAAAAATGACATTTGATGTTTTATTGTCAACAACAGCGCAGAACCCTCTAAACTACAGCGATGCTGAGCTACACAACACGCACGCAAACAGCTTTCCCTTCTGAGTTCAATTTCAGGCTTTTCCCTCTGTGCAACTTCAGCTTTATGAATCAGTCAACAAAAAAGTTGCTTAGCCATCATACTGCTGAAGGAAAAAAAGAAAAAGAGACAAACAGCCAGAAGTTGTTTCACAAGCCTGAAAACGATGACTACAACAAGTACTGGATGTTTAATAAAGCCAAATAAATCCTTATGCAAAGATAACAAAGCTGTAATTTTGTTCTGCATACATTTCAACAAGAAATGTGTTCAAGAAACACAACATGCAACAGTGTGCAAGGCAAAACTTTACTGAGAACATATACTGACATACATTCAGATTAAAATGTGTGAAGGGCTAGATTTGGATTTCACATATGACTTAAAACATCTTCAGTGTTTGTGACCCAGACTGCTACAAACCTGATTCTCCGCAAACAACAGGGGACAGTGGAGCGACGCAGCCAGCTTCCTGACAGCATCCAGGCGCTCAGCGGGGGCGGAAGCACTCCGAGCTACAAGAAAGAGAAGCATAAAAGGTCAGCTGGTCAGACACAAAAAAGCCTGAAAGTACAACAATATGTGTTGTGGGTGGTGTTCAACGGTGAAGTAAAATGTAAACAGTGGTAGACAATTTCTCCTTGATTTAATCTCAGCTTATTTTTTTCCCTTCTTCCTGTGAATCAAGGGACTGGGGAAAAAACAAAACATAAAACAAAACAAGACAAAAAGAAAAACACATAAAAGGATTTTAACCGTTGCCCTACCATTCGTAACCATGAAGCAAACTTTTCCAAGGAAATATCCCGGGTCCAAATATTTCAGGGACGCTTCTGCTGACTGGAAACTACAACAAAATAAAACAAAACAGAATGAAGCACTGCTACATCGTATCATGTTTGAACTTGTGTTTAACTTAAAATATAAAATATTTTGGACAACGTATGTCAGAGGCATTGGGATCTCGTTTCTGCATGATGACATCAAGTTTCTCCTTCATGAAACCTCAAAATCTGAGGTTTAGTGCTCAGTTTGGGTGAAGGTGACGCTTCAAGTAAGGCGGAGTTTTAAGTACTGGAGATCTTGTATTGAAGAGGACTGAGTGGAACCAGAACGAGCTGTTGATAGTCAGAGTGAATCATTGTGATCATCAACACCATGGTGATCAGGTAAGCCACCTGGGCACCTCCTAGATGAGGCGTTTTGGGCAAGTCCTGCTGGAAGGAGGCCCCAGGGCAGTCCCAGAACACACTAGAAAAATAAAGTCTCTGGGCTGGTTTGGGGCAATTTGTGTGGTTTAAAAATGACATCTCACTCTGGTAACAATTAAGTAAGAACAACACAAAAACAAAGCTGTTATATGAAGCAGAACCTGTGTGTTCAGGTGGCCAGTACAACAAATTGCATCTGGACATGTAAGTATTTTTTCATCTTGGTGACTAGGAACAAGTCCAGGTTCCTTTTCAATAGACACTCACTGAAATCAGACAAAAGGAGGGTACCCCTGGATCAGGCCTCCGCGGACTGTGGAGTTTGCACCGACTTCTTCCCACAGTCCTGGCTTAGGTAAGTGTGAGTGTGAATGGCTCTTTGTCTCTCTGTGTTTGCCCTATAACAGACCGTTGAGGGTGTACCCCATGACAGCTGGGATTGGCTCCAGCACCCTCGCAACCATGAAATGGATAAGCTGAAAATCGACGGATGGATTTGAAAGTTACCTGAGCTCTGAAGTTAGGTTGATGATGAACACAACCAAGTCTATTCTGGGACGGCTCTCATCATTCTCCATGGGCAAAGGAAGGCTCTTAGCTAGTCTCCTGTTAAGTACAAAGAGCGATGACAATAATGGGACTCTTACCCACCTCAGGTGGTCTTCACACATCTCAAAGTCATTGCATAACTGAGTAATTTGCTGCAGCTGCAGAATAACAGTGCAGCATCACATACGAGTTCCCCAGTCAGAATTTCACAATTATTTAATCATAAAGTCAACATTACATTACCAGCTGGAAACCTGTTATGACGTTGCAGTCTGAGTTAGAGGAGGGCGATATGGCCAAAAATATTTATCACGATATATATTTGAAAATTTGCGATAAC